GTTCCACAGAAATTACATATCCCACATGATTCTTCCCTCTCCCCATTTGTCTTTGGCCGTTTTGATTTGGTGAAGTATCGTCATACATCGGACACGACCCTCTTTGACGGTCAAGGGGGTTGGGCTATGCCCGTGCCCGTTGACTCGTAGCTCGCATGTGTTTGGCTACACCTCATCCCGACCGAATGTGGTTGTGGAATTGCAACTGCTTCCTCTAGAGGAAATGGTGAAAATGGATTGAAGCCTTCCATTTCTTCGGTGGATGGAACGTAAAACTCATTTGGGGAAGCCATTATAAATTTATGATAAAATAATAAATAATTAAAATGAAAAGAAATTAAATAATAATATGAAATTATGATGATATTGAAAAATAGAAAAAAAATTGAATAATATAAATAAATTATATGAATAAATTATAAATATAAATATAAATTGAATGAGAAATTGATTGGAGGTTTGGAGTAGAGAGATTGAGAGAATGAGAGATTGATTGGTGTGGAAAAAATGAAAGATTTTAGGGTTATTTATAGTGTAGTTGTGTGTGTGTGTGTGGGTGTGTGTGTTGGGGGGGTGGGGGGGGTGGAGGGGAATGAAAAAAATAAAAAAGGTTATAATTTATATTATAACCGTTGGTTGGCATGTGACCATTGCCAGCCAACGGTTAAAAAAATATATATAACCGTTGGCTATTGCAGCAGCCAACGGTTAGTAAAACCTTTTTTTTTTTTTTAAATAAATTTTATAAAATTTCATTTTAGCCCTCGTAATTTATATTTATTTTAAAATTGACAAGGGGTTTTATGTAATTGTGTATGGGACTACACTGAAAAAATCCAAAAAATTTTAGGCCCAGGCTTGGGATCGGTCCCAGGCCCGGGCCTTGGAGGAGGGCCCTCCTCCTTAGGCTTGGTCCCATTTTGGGACCAGTCCTAGGACCGGGTTTTGGGGCTGGGCTTTTGGGCCCAGTCCCAAATGCTCACCTCTAATCCAAACTCCAATTATACACTTAATTAATTGAATAATTAATGAATTTAATCTATTTTGTTTTTTTTTAAGTCTTAATTACATTCCTCAAAACTTTAACATTATAATATCATTATATATACCGTTGGCTGCTGTTAGTAAAACCTTTTTTTTTTTTTTATAAATTTTGTAAAATTTTTTTTAGCCCTCATAATTTATGTTTGTTTTAAAATTGATAGGGGGTTTTATGTAATTATGTAGGGGACTACATTGAAAAAATTTAAAAAAATTTAGGCCCAGGCCTGGGACTGGAGGAGGGCCCTCCTCCTTAGGCCTGGTCCCGTTTTGGGACCAATCCTAGGACCGGATTTTGGGACTGGGTTTTTGGGCCCAGTCCCAAATACCCACCTCTAATCCTAACTCCAATTATACACTTAATTAATTGAATAATTAATGAATTTAATCTATTTTGATTTTTTTAAGTCTTAATTACATTCCTCAAAACTTTAACATTATAATATCATTATATATGTATATGTCTACTGACCAAGTGGGGGCCTCCACCCCCTTCGTCACATCACCCACGTGTATCTTCATTCTACTTTGGATTTTTGTTTTTTGATATGCAAAATTAAGAGCCCCCATTCTTTACTAATATTCTATTCCAATCTCAGTTCCAAGACAAGTTCCATCCCAGTACCCGGCCTCGGTTCCAATTTCAGGTTCCAGGTCTAATTCTAGTTCTTGCACAACCCGCATAGTATCGGTTTCAAAAAATTAGAATCGAAACCGACCCTATGAAGGTCAGTTCTGGGTAGGCTCCAATTCTACTCACCAGTTCCGATTCTACTCACTACTCATACTCACCCTTAGCATTGATGCCTCTTGGGATAACTTCAAATCAAAGATCACAATGCTAATTTGAAACTAATGCCATACTTTTAAATTTGTATCCAGAAAATTTTATCATTATCATCTTATGCAGTATTGCATGTCATTTACATGATACATTACTTTGGAATTAGAATCTTGAGATCCTTCTCCAAGAATTTAATGCTTTCTTTTACAATAGGAACCATTTTGATTAATAGTATACTTGTGCATAAACAAGAATGATTGGAATGGAGAATACTCATTGTAACTACACCTGTAACTTTTTTTTATTTTTTATTTTTTAATTTCGATGATGCTTTTTTCGGGTAATCCCTTGAAGAATAGTCCCATTTATAGATGGAGTTGAAATAACATTGCCCTTCACCATGGAAATAATGTTACAGGAAGAGTGAGTTCCTCTAGGTTTTTTTTCATTCACCAAGTCCAAGGTACAAAACATCAGAAAGTTCTGTGTCTGTTTGTTCTACTTAGTGTTTCTAAACTGGGGCATAATTAGATATGGTTTTGAAGCCTTCAGCTCCACCAGGCACGATGAAACATTGAACCAAATTACAAAAGCGTAGAAACATTTATGATTCCCTAGAAAAGCTGATTAATAAGAGATGAGAAATTCAAGTTTAGGGTTCTTTTAGCTTAATCTGTTGATGGGTGATATGTTATTTTCTTTTCCTTTTTCTGTGTCACAAGGACTCAACCTTCTAGTTTGAGAGGAAGTGCAACAGGCCAGAGAGATTGAGATACCATAGAAATATTACAAAAAACACTCTGAAGACCATAAAAAATAGTGATAAAATCAAAGAGACACCATAAACAGAGGTTTGTTATTTTCTTGCCAATATATTTTTGGAAGCACACTCGTTTTTTGTTTACTCTTCCAAAGATCAAAGTCAAGGAGTCCCAATCACTGACAGAAAAATCATGCCATGGAAGAGGGAATTTTAGCTTTGAGTGCTATTTGTTATACATAACGAAAAAAAGCATCTACAATATTACATGATTACCACATCCTCCGTAAGATGCGAATATTAAAAAAGGCATAGTCGATATCAAATGCTTGGGTGGATTTTAATGTATCGACCCATGGGAATGTGTCGACACATGAGGCTTTGGCCATCAAGTTTGAGTTTTTTCTTACCTAAGCTAGAATGAAAGAAGTTCTAGTTAACCAAAATGCAATACAAGCCAACCCATTTATACGAGCGATCAAATGCATAATCTTTTTTGATAAATTTTATAGATTTAAAGAAATGAATTTTGGAATCAATTTATAATGATTTTAAAAAGAGTTTCATCTATCTGTTTTGCAAAATTTTATAGTAGTTCCATATTCAATATCTCACAAGAATTGAAAAACTAAAAAGTAGAATAATATAATTTACATAACATTTCAAAATAGTTTTCTTACACCCACTACAGTATGCACCAATATTTCTGTTTTCTCTCTAATGAATCTTTTACTGTACACAAAATTTGATGACAGTAATAAATTACAGGAACCAATCAATTATAGAAACTTTTTCTAGCAAGTGTAATCAAACAATGACTGTAAAAGACTTTTACGCACTTTATCATCTAGTACCTTTAGAAGGCAAGCAACTTCACATAACCTGACATGATATCTATACAGAGATTCTTCAATCACTTCTAGTTTCATCTCATTATTTTTAGAAGGTTTCAGCCTTCTTAGAGCCCATTGCATTGCCCATATGGCCATCAGACGCATGTAACATTGTACTCTTAAACCATCATCGGTAGTCCAAGCTTCTGGAGTTTGGTAAGAGTAACTACGAAGAAAACAGCAATATGTTAGTGAATCAAGAATAAATAGTTTTGGAGCAGATAATTATCAGTGTAAATTATGCAGAATGGATAGTTTACTATTGGAATCGGAAGAATATATCCTAAAGGCAGCAACCTGAAGAGCAAAAATACTATCTATTAGACATTATTACTACCGGAGTTTTGTCCAACAATTTTCACCACCAAGAATCTGCAAGTAAATGGCTAATCGGTACATCCACCAATTTATGCTTGCAATAAATTTTAATCAATTGACAAAACCAATGATGCAATGAAATCTATAAACATTTCAAAATGATTTAGATCTAAAAAACATATTTATGGCATAGTTAATAGCCTATTTATGGCAAATGGCTAGCACTAGACCTTGTCCTTCAAGGTTTACAAAGGTAACACCGTTACATAAGATAAAGGGGATCTTACGTATGTCCATTTTTAGACCATGCTGCTTCATAGATTCCACTGACAGTTTGAATCCCATATCAACCAAATCTTCATGCATCATCGTTACAACAACTGAATGCGTGACGGCAGAACATATTTCTCTTGACAGCAATGTTGTCATATCAACTGCATTCTTCGTACGGTAACAAAGACAGAGCCTTTCCGCAGCTAGCTGAAGCTTTTGCAGTTTCATATTTCAATGTTGTCAAATAATGCTCTCCTGATAAGGATACTGCTCTAAAAAGTGAACCACTCAATAAATTTTTATCATGAAAACTTCAAATTGGCTTTTGGACAAGAAATGAAGGAAGCAGGTTCAAACATTCACGATATTTTTGTCTTTCGTTAGTAAGTGCATTACTAAGGACATTGTATGTTTATTCGGTCTAACATTTCTGTCTGCCATCTTATGAAGGAGTTCGACAACTGTTGGTATCTCACTATTTTTTAGGAAACAAAGATAAGCGTATTAAATGTGACTAAATCTGGAGCACAACCTTTTCCCTCCATATATGACAACAACTCATTTGCCATTTCTAGTTGTCCATTTTTACATAGCCCATTGATCAAAATGTTATATGTTACAACGTTTGGCACCAGGTTTCCATGAAGAGAAAAATTCTGAAATAGGTCCCAAGCAGTTTCGAATCTCCCTGTTTTACATGATCCATCAATGAGGGAATTCAAACCTTCAATGCTAACTGAAAACTTTACTAGAGTATTAAACATATCCACTGCTTGCAAACCACATCCATTCTTGCAAAGTCCATCAATAAAAATGTTATATGTCCAGGAATCAGGAAAAACACTGTTAAATCGCATCTCACCAACTAAATTATGTGTATCTTTTACCTTAGCTTTAAGAAAAAGGCTAGTTAACAAGGTGTTATACATAATCACATCAAGCCTAATTCCTCTGAAATCATCTCTCGATAAAGACTAAGAGCTTTGTTGACTTCTTTATTCTTGCAATACCAATTGATTAAAGTATTATAGCAAACAACATTAGGTTTATATCCCTTTCTAGTTATAGAATCAAACAACCCCCTTGCATCACCAATTCTATCTACCAAGCAATAACCATTCATTAAAATGCCATAAGTATAAATGTCGGGATCAACACCTCTTTGAATCATCAATTCCATAAACCTATTTGTTTCGTCCAAATTCCCTTTCTTGCAACATTCATGTATGACCACACCAAAAGTCACCACGAAAGGCCGCACACCTTGATCCATCATCAATATAAATAATCTTTTACCCTCCTCCCAATCACCCACACAACACAAACCATGAATGAGAGTGATATAAGTGATCACATCGGGCCTACAATCAACAGCAACCATTTTCTTAAACAACTCCCTTGACACCATAATCCTTTTCTCTACACACAGACCTTTAATCAAACAAGTAAAAGTCACAGCATCAAGGCTGAAACCCTTCTTCAAAATCCCCCAAAAACAGCAAAACCATCCAAAACCCTTTTGATATTACACATGCAATTAATCAAAATGTTCAAAATCATAAGGTCTGGAGACAACCCAATTGAATTCAACACCTTATAAATCACTTCATAACCAAACAATCTGTTGAATGATGACATTGGAGAAATGGGTTGTGAATGAATCATGTAATCAAAAAAGTAAAGGGCTTAATTGAATGTGAAGTTACCTGATCGACAATTTTCTTCAAGGAATTTAGCAAGTAAGGATCGTTCAAGGGGTTTTTTGAAAGAACACAAAACTTCCTTTTTGGATCTTGAAGTTGTGAGGTTCTGCAAAGGAGTTAATAAACATGAAACATTAACTTTTAGAGATGGGGTTTGAGAGAATGAAGACGAACGAAATGTTGCTCTCAAAGCCATGAATCGAAATTTTTTTTTTTTTTTTTTTTTTTTGGTTAGGGTTCCTTTTAAGGTAAATGAGGACAATGAAAAATGCAATTGCAAATTCATTTTAAGATTAAGAGACGAATGTTTTGATAAATTTTAGAAATAACCCTTAAGTTTCGTAGTATATTGCTTTCGTTTACTTCTGTTATGCCTGAAAAAGTAGAGTTGACGCCAAGCCTTGTCAGCGTGGGTGGTCAGAGCTTAGGTAGACTCTGCAGCCATTCAGATGAAGCCACATCGCATGCTGATGTGAGTAGCATGCTCCTGCCAATGCAGTGGGATTGGACATGTGGAAAAGGTCTACATGTCCAATCCTCACAGAGGTCGAGGAAATCACTCGAGCAGGTGAGCAACAGGACACAAAGAAGGATTTGCACGGCAACTTGACCCACTCACAGATTCAGTAATCATTACCTCAATTCATCCCACTATAAATAGAGGGCTCCTCTCCCGTTTGTGGGATTAGCTAATTTTTCTCTGAAATAGCATACATTCTCTCTCTCTCTCTCTCTCTCTCTCTCTCTCTCTCTCGTGTATTCACTTGTATTCTCTAAGCTATAAATCAGCTCGTTGAACGCAACCTGATCTCATATATTAATACAATATCAGTGGACGTAGGATTCGCTTGTTTAAGCATCCGAACCACTTTAAACATTGTTCTTCATCTCTTATTCGATCCAATATCCCTATATACACGTGTGTCTTCTGAGTCAACTCAGCATTTCCCACATGCGATTAGTTGGTGTCAAAATCAAGCATCAACAGTTTGGCGCTAAAAGGAGAGCCTGATTTAGTACTTGTCTTCATCAGGAGAATCTCTGACTAATCGGTCCCACTATAGCAAATGGCTCACCGATTTGAATCTGAGCGAACCAATCATAGTGATGAAGAGATGCCCTAGGTACAAGAGGACACTTCCCCCAAAATACCCTCAGTCCCACAAAATCTCATGGGGGATATCACTTCAAGCTCACGGCTTGACCCAACAGTCATGAGCTACTTGGAGAGGTTCAACAATACTCTCCAAACGATCAGCCAAAGGCTAGAATGATTGGATCGAGTCATGCCACCCGAATCAAATGAGGCGGTGCCACCGCCAAAAATGCCAATAAGTCGCATGAAAGCGCAGAAAAGGGCAATAGCCCATGCCACGCGCATTGTAGCGCGTCAAAGAAAGGGAAAGCAAATGGCCCATAGCAGGCCTAGAGGCTCCGAGGGACCAGCGAACACCGACCACGCCCTGGGTAGAATACCTGTGGCACAAAGGCTTAGTGACATGTCGTGGCCCGAGCTGTCCCATGCCATGTCGCACGAGCACTCCCACAAAAGTACAAGGCGGGGAGATTCCCATTATCGCCAAAATGACGACTTCAATCATAGTTGCGCAGGAAGTTCCCACCGTCCGCGGGTCGGTTCGCACCATTGCGAAGGTTAGGAAGGTTCCCCAGACCATTCAATGCCATCACACGACTCTAACCAGCGTGTGTTAAGATCAACCGGGACTGTCGACCGAGGCGAGCAGCAATCCGACCTACGGTCTTTCCTCAACTGCAACCGTGAAGGTCGAACCCGCGTTGTGGAAAGCAATCCCCAGATGGCTCCGCTGCCTTAGATTGAGGAACTACAGTGAGCCCTGGATCAGTTAAAGGCTCAGCGAGACGATGTTAGAGTAGATGCCCTAGAGCCAGTCAAATATTTTAGAATTGACTCTTTGTAATAATGTTCATTAATCAATAAAATGCATTTTATTCTATATCGCGTAAATCATTATTATTGCAATATGTATTGATATATGTCCTTAGAATGGTAGAGCCGTGACGAGGGTATCAAGTGTTTCAAATCTTGATAGTGAGAACCCTATGAGCACATATGGTGGCCATTCTAGAAACGTCCGTAGCCCCAGTATTATTCTGAAGTAAGGGCACAGATAATACGGTAAGGCTATCATAGTGTTGAACGACCCTGTCGAAAGGCAGTGACTGATCTCACTTGTCAAGGTTGTTTGGTGACAACCTGGTGCAACACATGGGTGTTTGTTGTAGGCGATTACACCGCAGCAAGTTCACTGGACTGACCCACCAGAGGATTCCATATGGATGGTAACCCCAATGTCTATGGAAAAAATCCTCTAACGAATGGTGGTGCATGTGATCCTTAGACTTAAGATCACCGGAGCACCTTGTGCACCGATTGGTGTAGTTTGACACTAGCCTAATGCGGTTCTTTTCAGAGCTGTCAATATGGTGGTGATTGGCTACATCAAGGAGTGTATCAAGACTATGGTAGATAGACAGAGGATTCATCACTCTCAGGTACGGGAGAAGTTATCTCACGGCGCAATTCAGTAAATGGCAATGACACTAAAACTGTGGCCACAGTGGGATTGAGTTGTTGCTCTATCCGGATTATAATACAGGTCATTAGTCCAGAAACTGAAATTGACACTATTTCTATGCCTTCGTCTCGTTGAGATAACGTATGATGAAAGGATCGAATTGTACGGTAACCATATCGTTGACAGGTAGCTACTTTGCTGAATCCGAATCTATCGGGTGGCCATGATGCCTTGCTAGGGGTCAATCTTGGTCTGTTTATAGTGAGACGATTAATTAGTGTTAATCGCGATACTATACACTACTGATATGATGAGGAGCCTATGGGTCACACACATAGAAGATAATTTAAGACTCAGGAAGGACGAAGGGCGTTTTCATCTTTTTGGGCGAAAAGGTATTTTGGTAATTTCATAGTGCAATTAAATTTGTTGTGGTCGTAACCTTTATTTAATTTATTAGAAAAATTAAATAAGTGAAATTTCGTTTAAATATGTGTTCACATATATTTAATTAAATAATCATTATTGTTAAATGTTAATATATATATTAAATATATATTAATTGATTTTAATTGAAGATAATGATGAATTAAAATAAATATCTAATTGGGAGTGTTTGAAAACATGGGGTGTTTGGGTTGGAGCCCAAGCCTATTCCATATGGGAATAGGGCAATTAAAAACATCACTATAAAAGAAAAGGTTTCTTTGTAAAATGCAAGAGTTTTTCATTACACTAATTTTTCATTGAAAAGAAAACACACAGCCCCTCATTTCACTCTCTCACGCCAGAATTGATTTTTGCCTAAAATCAATTTCTCTTCATTTCTTCTTTGATTCTTAAGGCTAAGGAGGATCTAGCAAATCCCTCCTTAGTTCTTTATGATCGTTTTTTTGTGGACTACGTCGGTTCGATCCTACACTTGGGTCAATAGCAAAACGTTCAAAGACAAAGTTGGAGGAGCCTCCAAACGTGTGTATGGTTTCTAAACTCAAGAATAATTTTTCTGTAGATTCCTACTTTGATATAAACTGTAAAATTATACCTTTGATCTTGGCTCTTGGGAACGATCCTTGTATTATGATTTTTGTTTTTCGCTACGTATATGGACCGTATCCTAACAGATGAGCAAGGGCAGGTCATAGAGGCGTCTCCCTTTTCTCCGACTGTGTTAGCCACCCCTCTCCTATCCAGATTCAGAATGCCCGATATGCGAGCATTCGATGGAAATTCTGATCTGCAGGATCATTTGTATGAGTTCAACGACCTCATGGAACTCCACCAAGTCGCTGACTTGGCAAAATGTTGTTGCTTGGCAGTAACTCTTACTTCACATGCCAAGCGATGGTTTAGGTCGTTTCCAGCAGGATTAGTTAGTTCGTGGCCTTAGATGAGCTCAACATTCCTGAGACACTTCCAAGCAAACAGGAAGTTCTTAGTGCCTTTGACCTACCTCAACAACATAATGCAAGAGAGGGATGAATCCCTCCAATCTTATATCGACAGGTTCCACTGGGAGCTCTATAAGGTAGCTCACACTCTCGAAGAGTCCGTTCGAGCTCTTATCATCATGGGAGTTCATCCACAGACAAACCTGTGGAAAGAGCTTCAATCTGAGGACGATGTTTCCCTCACCCGCTTCTATAGCCTTACGAAAAAATACCTCCACATTGAAAACTCTATGGCGGCGCTCAACCGCCACTACCCCGGTCCTTCGGGCAGTGTGCCTAGTCGAGGGGAGAATAGGAGGGCTGATCGTAGATGGGCTAATGACGATCAGCAAAAAGGAAAGAAGTAGCGGTATGAGCCCAAGAAATCTTACGCCCCAGTTCCTCGTCACGATTGCGACAAGAGTCAGTACACTCCTCTGAATGCATCAGTCTCTGCTATTCTTAATAAGTCAGAAGAGGCCGGCCTGCTCGACAAGCCTAAGCCTATGAAAAATCCCTCTTTAGCTAGAAACAGTAAGAAGTACTGTCGCTATCATAGGGATAACGGGCATCACACTGATAAGTGTCGGGCCCTTAAGCAAGCGATTGAAGACCTCATTAAGCAAGGGCACTTCAAAGAGTATGTCGATGACTCTGCTCCCGTGCGGGAGAAAAATCAGGAGGAACCGGGTAAGAAGCGTCATGGTCGTAAGGGTATCTGCAGCGTAGGGATAATCTTTGGGGGACCACACCTCAGAGGGAATTCGTGAGATGCCCAAGAAAGGTATGCTCGCACAACCCATCACGACCCCATCCGTGTAATGAACACAACGCTGCGACCGTCAAAGGTTCATAGGGAGGAGGAAATCACCTTCTCCGAAAAAGATGCAGTCTGGTTGCATCATGCCCATGACGATGCTCTCGTCATCACTCCCCAGATAGGGCGTTACGACGTCCACAGAATGTTAGTGGATAACGGAAGCGCTGTGAACATCCTGTTCCAGCGAGCTTTCACATCCTGTTCCAGCGAGCTTTCGAAAGAATGAAGTTGGATGAGGCCTATCTGAAGCCCTCCTCAATCCCGCTATATGGTTTCACCGGGGATCATCTGATCCCCAAAGGGACGATCTCACTCCCGGTCACATTGGGTGACTTTGACGAGGTGACCAAGATCACTGAGTTCTTTAGTAGCGGACTACTCGTCCGCTTTCAATGGCATCCTAGGGCAACCTCTACTAAGAAACTTCAAAGCAGTCACTTCGATTTACCATCTCAAGATGAAGTTCCCCACCCCGATGGGGATAGGGGAAGTAAGCAGATCTCAGCGCGTGTCTCGCGACTACTATGTAAAGGCAGTGTAGGGGAAAAGGCACTCCACATGGCATTCTTGAACAGGCAATGGCGATCAGTCGGATCGAACCACAGCCTGGTCCAACGGAGGATAACTTGGATCCTCGTATCCAAGAATGCCCTCTAGTGGGCCGGTTGAGGATTTATTTGAAGTGTCAGTCGACCAGAGCGAGCCGAGTCGAGTGTTGAGGATTGGAAGTAATCTCAGCCCCTAGCTCACCAACGACCTGACCTGCTTCCTTAGAGTAAACATCGACATGTTCGCATGGACGCATGCCGACATGGTCGGGATCAGCCTGAATAACATTTGCCATGCCTTGAATGTCGATAATGAGGCCAGGCCGGTCCGCTAAAAGAGAAGAGGAATGAATTCAGAGCAATATGCTGCCTTGAAGGTCGAGGTAAATGATCTCCTTCAAAATGGATCCATCCGGGAGGCGCTTTCCCCGAGCTGGGTTGCCAACTCGATTTTGGTAAAGAAGCCCAATGGTAAATGGCGGACGTGCGTTGACTTCACCGACCTCAACAAAGCATGTCCTAAAGACAGCTTTCCCCTGCCAAGGATTGACCAACTCGTTGATGCCACCTCTGGGCACGAGCTATTGAGTTTTATGGTCACCTACGCAGGATACAATCAGATTCTGATGTACGTACCGGACGAAGAGCATACCTCATTTGTTATAGATCGGGGGCTGTATTGCTACAAAGTTATGCCCTTTGGCCTAAAAAATGCTGGAGCAACTTACCAGCAACTAGTTAACCAAATATTTTCCAAATAGATCAGGAAATCGATGGAGGTCTATGTTGATGACATGCTGGTCAAGTCGCCTGTCTCTTCTGATCACATAGCACATCTCACTGAGATGTTTGGCATACTCTGGAAGTACAGAATGAAGCTCAATCCTCTCAAATGTTCATTCGAAGTCTCCTCAGGAAAATTTCTAGGGTACGTGGTTAACCAAAGGGGAATAAAGATCAACCTCGGGAAAATCCAAGCTCTCCTCATCATGAAAATCTCGACCAACTAAAAACAGGTTCAAAGTTTCAATGGGCGAATAGCGACACTCAGTCGCTTCATATCGAGGGCAACAGATCGCTGCTTGCCATTCTTCAATATACTTCAAGCCAATAAGAAGTTTGAGTGGACTCCCGAATGCGAATAGGCATTCCAGAGCATTAAAGAGCACCTCGGAAAGCCACATCTTCTATCCAAACCTCTCCCATAAGAAATTATCCTCCTATATTTGTCCGTCTCTCAGTACGCAGTCAGTGCAGCTTTAGTTCGGGAAGAGAACAGGGTTCAATGGCCAGTATACTACGCGAGCAAGCGTCTGCTGGATGCCGAGATATGGTATCCGGAAATGGAGCGATTGGCTTATGCCCTGCTGATTGCCTCCAGAAAGTTGCGACCTTACTTCTATGCCCACACAATCCATGTATTTACTAACTACCCGCTCAGGCAAGTCCTCCAAAAGCCAGAGGCATCGGGTAAATTGCCCAAGTAGGTCATAGAACTAAGTCAGTTTGATCTGCAATACAGACTGAAAGCAACCATCAAAGGGCAGGCTGTTGTCAATTTCATCTCAGAATTCTCATATCATCCAATGAAGGAATCCGAGCAATAAGCCAACGAGGTCACCCAGGAAACTGTTCAGAACCTATCGACCTGAAGCCTCTATGTCGATGGGTCATCCAACAGGAAAAGGGTCGGGGCAAACTTTCTCCTCCTAAGTCTCAAAGAGACTCGCATTCATGGCATTCTCCGTTTCGGGTTCAAAGCGAGTAACAATGAGGCCAAGTATGAAGCTTTGCTCTCTGGATTACGGTTGGCAAGAGAAATGGGATCAACCGTGATCAGCATCCACAGCGATTCCATGCTAGTTGTCAACCAGATTTTGAGGGAGTATTAGGCCAAGGAAGAAAACATGATCGGCTATTTGAAGAAAGCTAAGGCTGCACTCGAGTCATTTAAGCACTTCACGATCACGCAGATCCCTAGAGACAGTAATTTTCTCACAGATGCCTTGGCAAAGATAGTCTCATCGCTAGACTCGGATACGCTAGAGAGCATTTCTGTTCCATTCATAGAGGCCCCCAGTTTCAGCTTACCCGAACATGCCTTGAATGTGACCAAGTTAGTCTCCTGGATGACCCCTATCATTCAGTATCTCTGAGATGGGACTTTGCCCAATGAAAAGGTCGAGGCAAGAACCCTGCGAACCAGAGCTGCTCGTTACACACTTATAAGAGATCAACTGTACAAGCGAGGGTTTAGCGCCCCTCTTCTCCGATGTGTAACTGATGAAGAAGCAGACTATATCATGAGGGAGATACATGAAGGAATCTGTGGTAATCACACGGCCGCACGAACCCTCGCCAAAAAAGTTGTTCGTCAAGGGTATTACTGGCCCCTGATTCAAGAAGACACCTATAACTTTGTTAAAAAGTGTGACAAGTGCCAACGGTTCGCGAACATACCATAAGCTCCTTCCCACCAACTGATAACCATGTCCAGCCCCTAGCCATTCTCCATGTGGGGAATCGATCTCATTAGACCTATGCCTGTTAGTAAAAGGGGAGTCAAGTATGCAGTGGTCGCGGTGGACTACTTTACCAAGTAGGTCGAAGCGGAGCCTTTGGCTGCGATTACCACCAAAAAGCTTAAGGATTTCATCTTCAAGAACATTGTGTGCCGCTATTGGATTCCTCATACTCTCATCTCTGATAATGGGAAGCAGTTCGATAACGAGGAATTCAAGCAGTTTTGCGACGAGCTAGGTATCCATAAGAAATTTTCCTTAGTCACAAAACCGCAAGCAAATGGTCAGGTTGAAGCTATCAACAAAACCATCAAGCACACTCTGAAGGCCAAACTTGGCGCAGCCAAGGGAAATTGGGCCGACAACCTCCCAGAAGTCCTATGGGCATACAGGACAACTCTAAGAACTTCTACCTCAGAAACACCCTTCTTGCTAGCATATGGTTGCGAAGCAATGATCCCTATGGAGGTAGGAACGGGTTCACTTCGGAGAGAACTGTTCAGCGAAGCAGACAATGAAGCGCTCATACGCATAAGTCTGGATTTAGTTAAAGAACATCACAGCAAGGCTCAGCTAAGAATAGCAGCCTATCAGCAGCACGTAAAAAGGTTCTTCGACTATAAGGTTAAAAGAAGAGACTTCCAGGTCGACGACCTCGTCCTGAAGGAAGTTCTTCTCGGTACAAGAGAACTGAGCATGGGAGTCTTGGGGCCAAATTAGGAAGGCCTGTACCGCATCGCCAAAGTGATAAGACCAAGGACTTATCACCTCAAAAAGCTGAACGGTTCCGAAGTACCGCGAGCTTGGAATGCTGAGCTGCCCATATTATCATTAGAATGCGACCTCAACATCTTCTAGCTGGTCACCAATCACCTGCCTAGGTGTGGGCTCCTCTAGGACATACTCCGGATACTTCTCTTTCGGGTCAGGTCCCCTAGCCGCTTCCTTATCTTTGGCCCGTGCCATAGAGCTAAGGGAATCCTGGTACACTTCAGGGAGGGCAGTCAAATCCATCTTAGGGTTCTTCGGTTGACGGGTATAAATGGACTGGATTGTCCACTCAGCAGCCCTCCTCTCAATCTCGAATTCTTACTACTGCATCTCTGCAGTTAGCGAAGTGACCCGGCCTTGGGTCAATTGGAGTTTGGCCTCAAGCGCCCACTCTGCTTTTTGGTGGTCTCCCATAGCTCCGCCCTTTCCCACTCTGCTCGCAAGGCCCACTCAAAGTTCGTTTGTAGCTCATTTTCTTTCTTGCCAGCCTCCTTGGTGAGTCTGGCCACTGTCCTTTGGAGCTCTTTTACTTCCTCTCCTCGCTTCTCTAGCTCGGCCTTCTGATAGTCCACCGTGCGAAGAGCAGCATTCCTTTTGGACAGGTACTGATTCGCCTGAACGATGGTAAGTCTTTCTCTGCTTGAGCAGCTTCTAAGTCCCGTTTAAAGCCGTGTGTTCTCTTCTCTCATCTCGACCAGCCCTTCAGCTGAGCTTTCTGTATGGACAAATGCATGGAAAGCAAGGCCTGCATAACAAAGAGAGTTAAGAGTTAGTTTCCTTTCTACTGAAAAAAGCAAATGTAAAGTCCACATTAAGGGCTGCTCGTTTTACCTAGCTTAGGTGCTGGAAGGATGTGGACATCAGGTCCATGGGGTTGGAGGCCACAAACTGCTCGAACGCCTCCATGAGCCCGCACTCCAGTAGGGTGAAAACCACCAGCTGTAAATGATCTGAAAGTTGCCCCATGGAGTCTAGCATGGGCGTGCCTATGCCTGCAGCAAGTAGCATTCCCTCATCCGGCTCCTTGCTCGACCTCCTTCCAGGACCTGCATCCTCCCTTTGCCTCGGCCGTGAACCCTCTGGGGTAATGGAGATACCGATCGCGCCCCAGAAGGCCCTCCTGAGCGGAACACTTGGTAAGGCTATGACCTCTCGGGCTGAATGCCCAGGCCCTCCGGCTCGGACTCTGACTCCTCAACCCGAAGTTGCTTTCACTTCTTGGACTTTGGAGCCATAGTCTTGTGCTTCGGGTGAACAATCGAAGGCTGGGGAACGCCTGCAGGTCAGACCGTAGCACTTGCCAGTGTCTCTTTGATGGGGGGACTGCTGGGAGCCGCTCCAGTAAGTCTGGCAACGCTTACTCAGGGGAAGGTGAACTGCTTTGGTCACGGTGATCTGGGCACTTTAGGAGGCATGGTCGCTACATGCGAACATCGTTAGCAAAATAGTTTGTTGCATGCAGGATAAAGAAAAACAGGCCAAGGTTATGGTGCTTACTCGGTATGGTCTCTAAGGTCGCTTCGAGATTGAAGAAACCGTATTTCCACAAGTTCGTGGTTGTCACAAGCAATCTCACGTCACGACTCTCTTCGAGCAAAAAGCCGAAGGCAGTGATTCTGTCAGGGTCCTCGAGAGCTGATAACCTAGTCGTCTTGTTAACTACGAAGAAACAAAAAGCTCATTAGCAAAGATTAAAAGGAAATTCGCGAGCTCACAGAAACGAGAACCTACTTGGCTCCTTAAATTGGCAAATGTCATCGTATCAAAAGAAGAAAAACTTCGTCTCATACGCCCTAACATTGTTGGGGTAGCTATGTATTCCCGCTTTGATTATAGGATGTTTCAAGAGGTAGAAGGAATCCTTGTCCTTACTCTTCTTCAGGATGTACGAGCAACCAAGCTCTAGCGCGGTTAGCTCACCCAAACCGTTTTCGTCGCATGCGTTATACATAGCCACGGCTATCATATATGCATTTGACATAAGCTATAGCGGCGCGATCTTGAAGTGATCTAGGATCGACCTAACTTAACGAAAGGGTGAAAAAGGATCAACCCTCCACTCTTAAAAATATTCTCGAAAATCGCAGCCATCCCTTCTGGCGAATTCCGAGCTGTGTACGTCCTTGCTGGAAGACCTCTACACTGAAGGCATATTGGTCTACCACCTTCTGAATCTCCTCAATGGTGATTGCCGACAGAATCTCCTGAGAGGGATCCACTGGGGCATCCTGTACTGGCGAGCTAGTTTCCTCACCTGTCCTGGTCGTAAAAGGGTCCATTCTCCTGCGGTCTGAAAAAAGCAACATGCAAGAATCACTCAGTCGTCATACACTGTTTCATATGATGGCGTGGAGGAAAAAGTAAATGCTTCCTCCCTTAAACCCTAGAAAACCCCTAAAATAATCCTTAAGAGCCACCTCTAATGGCTCAAACCCTATGAGAAGATTTTATCTCCGATCAACTACCGGCAAACACTGTCACCACAAGGAAACTATCAAAAACAAAAAAGAAATAAAGTGGCAAAGGAACCATCCTTACCTCTTGAGTATGAAGATTGATCCTCCTACTCCGAGTGTCAAGCGCGCACCAGTCTAAAAGACGAAAAATCACGGCTCACGAAAGTTTCTTGCTTTCTCTGAAGAAGTGAATATTGTTCAATTACCTGAGGTGAGCCTGGGGTTTTATAGTGAAGGAAGTGGCGTTTGGTTTTCCCGAAGCCAAATGACGTTTGAGCAAAAATCACTTCTCACCATTGATTGCGACCACGTGTCGCTAATTAGTGAAGAAGAGTGACCGTCACGCTTCGAGAAACCAAATCGTCGTTCTTTTCCGTTGAAGCACTCAAGCGACGGCTCGTTTCCCTCTTCCACATTAAATGTGCTCACATAAGCATTTAATGCTTTGATAGGGAATGTCGTTTTAGCATGGCTCGCATTTAATGCCCATGGCTAGCACTTATTGTTAGAGTAGATGCCCTAGAGCCAATCAATTATTGTAGAATTGACTCTTTGTAATAATGTTCATTAATCAATAATAAAAGGCATTTTATTCTATATTGCGTAAATCATTATTATTGCAATATGTATTGATATATGTCCTTAGAATGGTAGAACCGTGACGAGGGTATCAAGTGTTTCAAATCTTGATAGTGAGAACCCTATGAGCACATCAGGGGGCCATTCTAGAAACGTCCGTAGCCCCAGTATTATTCTGAAGTAAGGGCACAGATAATACGGTAAGGCTATCATAGTTTGAATGACCCAGTCGAAGGCAGTGACTGATCTCACTGTCAGGTTGTTTGGTGACAACCTGGTGCAACACATGGGTGCTGTTTGTAGGCGGATATACCGCAGAAGTTCACTGGACGACCCACCAGAGGATTCCATATGGATGGTAACCCCAGTGTCTATGGAACAAATCCCAACGAATGGTGGTGCATGTGACCTAGACTTGAGATCACCGGAGCGCCTTGTGCACCAATTGGTACAGGTGCACATAGCCTAACGCAGTTCATTTAGAGCTGTCAGTACGGTGGTGATTGGCTATATAAAGAGTATATCAAGACTATGGTGGTGATGAAAAAGGATTCATCACTCCCGGGTACGGGAGAAGTTATCTCCGGCGCAATTCAGTATATGGCAATGACACTGAACATGTGGCCACAGTGGGATTGAGTTGTGTTTATCCAGATTATAATACGGGTCATTGGTCCAGAAACTGAATTATAATATCGAGAGTAACCGAAGGTTGACACTATTTCTATGCCTTCGTCTCGTCGAGATAACGTATGATGAAAGGATCGAATTGTATGGTAACCATATCGTTGACAGGTAGCTACTTTGCTGAATCCGAATCTATCGGGTGGCCATGATGCCTTGCTAGGGGCCAATCTTGTCGTGATTAGTGAGGCGATTGATTGGTGTAATCGCGATATACTACACTACCGGTATGATGAGGAGCCTATGGGTCACACACATAGAAGATATTTAAGAAGCAAGAAGAAAGAGGGCTTTTTTTCTTCTTTTAGGCGAAAGGGTATTTTGGTAATTTCACAGTGCAAATTTGCTGAGGTCGTAGCCTTTTATTTAATTTGTTAAAAATTAATAAGTGAAATTACGGTTAAATGTGTGTTCGCACATATTTAATTAAATCATCATTATTGTTAAATGTTAATTAAATATTAATTGATTTAATTAAGATAATGATGAATTAAATTAAAATATCAAATTGGGAGTGTTTGGCAACATGGGGTGTTTGGGTTGGAGCCCAAGCCCCTTCCATGTGGGAATAGGAACTTGGTTTGCCTATAAAAGGAATAGTGTTTTTGTGGATTTAATAATTTTTAATTCATTTTGCCTTTTGATAAAAACACACACAGCAGCCCCTTTTAACTCACTCCCACGCCCCTTTCACTGTTCATGAAAAACAAACATTTTGTTTTTCTTCTTGATTTTAAGGCCAAGGAGGACTAGCAAATCCTCCTTGGTTCTTGTTGATTGTCTTCGTGTGGACTCTACGGTTCGACCTACACTTGGATCGGTAGCAAACACATTCAGGGACACATTGGTGGAGCCTCCAAACGTGGGTATGATATAAACATTTGGATTTATTTTTCTGCAGATTCTTATTATGCATAAACTGTAAAATCTGTGCCTTGATTTTGGGTTCTAAGGAACGATCCGTGGTTGTAAATTTTTTGTTTTCCGTGCGCAACCGGGTCTTTCCTAACAGTGGTATCAAACTAGGGTACTAGATTTACAGTATTGAATGGTTGATACATGAATTGTTTGATTGAAACATGCTGCCTGATGAATCTGCCTAGAAAAACCCAGATTTTGTTAAAACTGATAAATCTGTAATCCATGTTGATGAGTGATTCAAATGATAACTGGTTTAATAATGTGTTGTGATGAATGTGATATTGGTTGGTAATATCTGGTTGAACGTAGACGTTTGATTTGATTTGGATTCGTGTTTATACACAAAAAAAAATGCAAAAACGCGAACTGTACGAATTGGGGATCCAGGTTTCGCCGCGGCAAAGCTTTAGCTTCGCCGCGGCGAGGAGCCTCTGGACAGTTTTTTGTTCGCGGAAGATAAAACCTTCGCTGCGGCGAAGTCTGTGGCGGCTAGAATTAATTTTAATCTCGCTGGGCGAAGATAAAACCTTCGCCGCGGCGAAGTATGCAGCAGGAAGTGCATACTGTAAATGCTCGCCGCGGCGAAGATAAAAACTTCGTCGC